TCATCTTATAATCAACAATAATTGCAACAATTAATACACATTCACAACATCAAAACACAACTTCTTTATGCAATCGTATAATGCGACTCAATACTATGCGAATGCATGTGGTACCATTAGAGCATAACTCCCATCTTAAAAATCTGCCAATAAATAGAGGCATCAATAAGGCATAAGCCTTCATCTTAATATTCGCCAATACAGGCCATCTTTAACGAGCATAAGCTCCATCTTTAAAATGCAATGTATGCGACACAATCATGAATGTAATGACAACACCAAAATCATCAACATCTAAACACAACATCATCATTGGCCAAAAGCCTACATCTTAAAAGCTGCCAATTATTAAATGCATCTCAACGTCTTTCATCAACATCATATATCATCATAATTCATTTATCATCATAAATCATCAAACATCATTTATACATCATGACTCATCAAGCATAATCTAATAAATCATCATTTTATCAACAACTCAGCTATATAGTAATATCACAGTAACTCATCAATCTCACAACATTGGCCATAAGCCTACAATAATACTATTGCCTATAATTAATTATTCATCAAATGCTTACTTCTAAATCACTAAACCTCTACATGTTACTATTATGTAATAAGACATCATTATTATCATTAGTCCTACTCTTATAAACCAAACAACAATCTATATACATCTCATCTTCATCATTCTTCACAAAAACCAACATAACGATTACCACGGGAACTAACTCTAATCTTAATTTGGATACTAGGATTATCCTTCCTATTCTTCATTTTAATCCTTAAGAATGAAGTTCATTGCGTTAGCTATTCGATGCTTCGAACGACACCTCAAACGGAGTCCAAAAACTCAAGTTATAACATTCTCAACTGATTCTGCCAAAAACCAGACAACATGGATCGATGTATAACATCTTGAGTCGACGCGTACTGCACTGAACTTGCAACATGAGTCGATGCATCCTCTATTATATCGACTCATACTGAGTCTGCCATACAACATGTATCGACACATGCTCCTACGTATCGACTCATCCTGAGTCTAGAAGTCCTCATGTATCGATGCACGACTCCTTCGTGTCGACTCATCCTGAGTCTAAAGACCTGCTTGTATCGACACATCATGTTTGAGGTCGACGCATACTGCTCTGTCATGCATAATTTCTACGTTTTTCTCTGTGTTTTCACTACGGGTTCCATACTTTAAGCCCTCAAAACCTAATATAATCATAAATAATCATCACTTACAGTTATCCTATAATTCTACATCAATTAAACAGCATAGGAACATCATCGTTCATCTTCTAATCATCAATTCTCATCATACAACAACATATAATTCAATCATGAACAAAACAACACTTTCACATCTAATCCCATAAACCAATTATCATGAATCCTATTATAGAGTCAGAACCCCACCCTTGATTGAAGGTTGCTCTATAACTTTCTCCAATTGATTCCCATTCTGCCTCTTTCCTCTTTTCCAACAACTTTCACGTTCTTCATCTCAAACCCTTATTCTTCTTACTGCTTCTTCTTTTCAATTATTTCTGACAATAATAAAATAACCTATTATTGTCTTTATTCCTTAATGGGCTTAAAACTAATACACCCCCTCATTAGTACTTATATTCCTTAAAAACAAGCTCATCTCAAATAATATCATCATTCTAATATTATTTCACCATTTTAATAAAATAAATAAATCCAATTGAACACAACACAACTTCACAAATATTTCAAAAATAATTTAATTAAATAATTAATTAAATTATGGGCGTTACAGTTGAACTAGAAGACTGCAATCAATAATGATGTGTCATTGGGTTCCACAAATTTTGCATCCGGTTTGTACTGCAGCGATGGTAGTTGTAGGATTGACGACTAAGCTTTTAACCTTTTCTGCTAGGGCGTCCATCTTAGTGTTCATATGGTATAGGCTACCAATTCCATATATATCTCCTTTTGTTTATTTCTTCTCTACTGACATTTCTTCAGTTCCCCATTGGTAATGGTTTTGTGTCATGTCCTCTATGAGTGTGCATGCTTTGGGGTATGGTTTGTTCATCAGTGCACCGCTAGCGGCAGCGTCAATGGTCATCTTTGTTTTATAGAGAAGCCCATTATAGAAGGTATGGATGATCAACCATTTTCTAATCTGTGGTATGGACAGGTTGCTAATAGCTCTTTATACCTTTCCCAAACTTCGAAAAAGGACTCACCATCTTGTTGAGTTAATCTGGTTATTTGGTTTCGCAGAGTAGCAGTTTGGCTTGGTGGAAAGTGTCTTGCAAGGAATAATTTCTTTAGGTCATTCCAAGTAGTGATTGAATTTGCTGAAAGGGAGTCTCGCCATGATCTCACTATGTCTCTGAGGGAAAAAGGAAATAAACGTAAATGTATTGTCTCAGGAGGAGCGTCATTGGCTTTCAATGTATCAACTAGTTAGATAGACACTTTTACGTGTTGGTTTGGGTTTTCTGATGGGAGGCCAGTAAATTGGTTTTGTTGCACGATTTTGCAATAAGGCGGGTTTAAATTCAAAATTGTTGGCTGGGATTGTAGGGTTGACAATACTTGAATGAGGTTCTTCGTTAGAAGGTAGGGCAAAGTCCTTAAGTGGCTTGCGATCATTTTCTTCCGCCATTGCTCTCCTGATTCGTTGAAGCAAAAGTCGGGCACGTGCGTATCTCTCTGGTTCTTCTATTAGATTTTCTAAAGTTCAGGTACTACGAGTTCTTCGCATTGCGGGAAAAAAGGTGCCTTAATCTAGACGATGTAACAATAGGGTTATGATGTTTGACGAAATTGGTCCCCGACAACGGCGTCAAAAACTTGATGGTTGATTTCCGCAAGTATACGGAGTCTATCAGAGTAATATAAAGAGTTTCAAACCCCACAGATACCAAAGGGTCAATCTATCATTTTTCTATTGCTACGGTGTTTATCTAAGGGGATTAAAATAGTGTTTGGGTTGTGAAAACAAAATAAAATAAAAAACTAGAATTAATTTAGAAATACAATGCAGGAATGCGGATCTCATCAATTCGTTGATACCCTTGTTGTTCCTAAAACTACCTATGGGATAATGTTTTCTCCTTATGGAAAAAAGAATTAACTAAAAAGGAATCGTCGTTGTCGCATAATCGGAACTGGATTTTACTCTTTAATTTATATCGGAGCTATCACATTCTCCGATTGTGTTTTGCTTTAAAGGAGTAAAAACCTTTTCCAGAAATTAGTTTCTTTTGCTCATGCAAAAAGTACATTTTACTGGCAAATTAGATTTTAAAGGATTCTTGGCTTTTACTCGAACAATCGGATCTTAAACTTATAAATGTGTCTAAAAAATAGTTTTAAAATCACTTTCTTAAAATATTAAACCTTCCTAATCAATTAATAAAGTGTTTTCGCAGTAGTTATTAATAAAAAACTAAACAATTTAAATCTTTAATACCGGGTGACTTTTAATCTTACCTGACATAATTACGGTTCTACTTTCGTAGTAACCAATCAAATGAAGTTTAGAAAAGTTTTAATAAACTCAAAACAACCCCATAAGTATTTCTAAGAGAATAACACTTGGAGTACCGTCGAATCGACGGTCCTCACATTCTAACACTATAAATTTAGCCGGACATAACAAATGATAAAACAATAGATTTTAACATGGAATCAAACATAACATGCATGGTAAGTAAAGCTTTTAAAACGTGCAATTGATAGATGTAAAAACAGAAATAAGAACATGTAAATAAAGAGACGAAATAATAAAAGAAATACGAATAAATAAACTGGCTCCAATCAGAGGCTTGAATCTTGTATAAAGTAAATTGCTGAAAGCTTGAAAAGAAATATAAATGGCAGCAAGATTAAACTTTGACGGAGTAAATGCTCCAAACTCAATACAAACTCAATGCTCACCGGTGTTATAACCCATCGATGTGACGAGTTATAGCTTTAGTCGGTAAATTTAGTGTTTAAGATTGTTCTAAACTTGGATGGCTTCCAAAATGATGAAAGGCTAGTATTTATAGAATTCTAAGATCCTAAAACCAACAAGGGAGGTTTCTAAATGTGTGGGAGATAATCTAGGAAGGAATGGAGGGAGTGCAAGATCGAGCAAGTCCACTTTTCAACCGCCTGAAGTTTACAAAAGATGGAAAACGCCATCCGAAGGTGGCAAATGCCACCTTTCCAAAATGTGGAAGACTTGGTCTTTTGGCTGTTTTTTAGTGGGACACGCCATTCTCCTTATGGATTTCTCCATGGGAACGCCATGTTAATTGCCTTGAGTGCAATTTCTTCCTTTTTTTTACCGTTTTCCATTTGATTTGCTTCGTTTCTTCGCATATGTCTCTCATATGGTCAAGTACCTGAAAAAATAAATAAAATACCAATATAATACTGAAAATAGAGGTAAAATAATTGATAATACATGTGCAAATCTAGTTAAATATACCGTGTGTTTTAGTGTTACCACTTACTCTCAAACAACATCCCAAAACCCTAAATCTTGAAAGCAAAAATAAATGAAAACTACATGTGTAATCAAGCAACAATTAAGAGGATTCTACTTGAAAGAACACGTTCTACCACATGGTATCAGGAATCAGACGGAAAAGAGGAGAAAATATTACCTCCTCCGCAGGGTGATATCTGGACGTCATGGATGGTGTATGATGAAGCTCGAGCTTGGGTAAGGCCTTCCTTCTCCTTCTGTCTCTGATATTCTTCCCTTCTAACTTCTTCTACGAAAATTTGGTTGGAACTCTGTTGAATGGTTGGTTTCTGTGCTTGGATCGATTGTGAACTTTGCAGGTTTGAGGCAAGGTATTATAGAGGGTCTGAGCTCAGGTTGGTTAGAGCTTCAATTTGAAGCTCTAACAGTCTTCCATGGAGTTTCTGAGTGAAGTGTTTTGGAGGAAGATTCCGTGGATTTTTGTAGAGTTTTTGGAGCGTTTTCTTCCTTTTTCTTGAGGCTCGGTTTAGGTGTTGTTATATAGGTGAGTGATTAAAATTGAGTGCCAAATTGGGAGGGAATTCATGAAGGAATGAGGGGGAAAACAGTTAAGGTTTTGTTGAGTTTGGAGAGGGAATTTCATTGATATGTGGTAATAGATATTGTGCAATTGAGACCATTGATGATTGTTGATTGTGTGGTCAAGATGAAGTTGAGATGCAATTCTGTTGAACTTGTGTTTTTTAATATAATGTTGAAAGTTGAGTTTAAAATTTGAGTGTAATTTGGAGTTAATTTGAAATTTTGTTACTTGTATGCAAAAACGTGTGCGTTTGATGAATGAAAAATGAATTTGGTTCGCAATGCTAAATGAAAGCGTGTAATGCAGGCTTATGTGGGACATGGCCATACAATAATTTTCCTTTTTTTTTTTTACTCAATTAAAAATCAACTCAAATACTAACTTATTATAGATTATCTCTGTAACATCACATTATTTTTGTTAAATTATAAAAAATATTTATCATAATTTTTATTATTTATTCTTTGAATTATTATGTATAAGAAATTTAATGAAACTATAACAACCTTAATATTTCTAACTTATTATAATTGAAAGGATAATTATTTTATTTAGGGGATTTAATGTCTTAGCTCTTAACAGATTAAAAATAACGATAAAAAAAATTACATTCTATCTATTTATTTATCAATTAATTTGATGTGACGGTAATAGTTAAATATTATTGATATAATTATTTAAATTATTATTTATTCTTATATCTTAATTGTTAATATTTTATGATATATATCAAATACTGGAATACCCACACGTTCAAGTATTTTCAGAGGCATTTGATTTGTTGATTGGAAGGAGATATTTCTGAATGTGAATAGATAGAAAGACAAATTATAGTGAGGAACGAAAAATGAGTAAATCGTTCATGGAAAAAGGTGAGATGTGACGCTAATGTCATGATGATCATGCTTGGACCAAACCATATTGTGATGATGGTTTTTATCTCTTAGATATTATGATGTATTTAGTTGTTTTGTTTGCTTATTATGTTGTTGTATTTTGAGTAGTTGTCCTGAATTTGTCGTGTTGTAATTTTTGGGTCATTATCTGAAGGTCGTTGTAATTGAATGTTAACTTGAACACGAAATGAAAATCCGAATTTAAATTGAAATTTCTTGCTTACAACAAATTAATTACTCCAGAAAGTTTGTTATAAAAAATTAGGTTGTAGAACTAGACTCAATATTTGGACAATTTTTTCAATTGTGTCTGGGAAGATGACATGTACTGCATAATCTTATCATTTTGTTGGTTGTATCTATTTCAGTTCTAATACGAGTGTTATTGGGGCGCCCTTTTTTCTTCCTTCGCATTTGTTCATTGTGCCAAACAACGTCCCCTTGATAAACAAACCAATAATCCTCCTTTGCCAACACGGAGAAGGTATTGATGTACATACTTAAAACGCTCTTGACTGTGTAAACGGGAGACATAATGATATTATTTGGTCACTTTTTATTTCCTGAAACAACAGGTAATACTGTTAATATCATGTATTTACCTTTGTTAAAACATTTTGATAAAATAAACACATATAGTTGGGGCTCTGCTGTGTTGGCTCATCTGTATAGTTCTTTGTGTAAAAACGCATCGAACGACAATTGTTCTTTCTATTCCTGTGCCTTTTTGCTCCAGACATGGCGCTCGTTGAGAATGCCGACACTCGCCCCTCGCAACACAAGGTCATTCGTCTTCCCCTTTGCTACAAAATAAGATTATGACAACACTGATTTTACATACTATATACTATAACCATCATGTGTTAATTTATTATCCATATTTTCTATGTAGGTGGGTTGTTCCTGGGATGAGTTACAATAAATCCCCTAGAAATACAATAGTAGTCTATCGAAATCTTATCGATCATGTTGGACCTGAAGAGGTATTAAGCTTACATATTTTATACAACGCTTTCAATATGTTAATTAAGTTTAATATTAATATTAAATTAACACCTTTTTCCTCTATAGTTTGTATGAAGGCCGTATAAGGATCTCGACCATGAGATTAACCCAATAGATGCTAAAGTCTGGACTAGAAAAACAGTGTTCATCAGGTTCACTACCTGCGGAGATACACCACAGTGATCGTGTGAAGCTACAATTCGACATGCAACAAGGTATCCCAGACCCCTAAGTGTTTGGAAAAATTGCATCTACTCAAAGTTGATGACTAATGGGGATTTAATGATTTGAGAGACTTTGCTAGAAATCAATATCGTCAATGGAGGCATCAACGTGAATTGGTCCTAAGAGAGCTGATCTCACAAGATGACTTAAAGTTAAAACCAACTCTCCAATATTTGACATGGTACACATCGGTTTCAACAAGTTTGTTTATGTCTCATGAGACATATTTGATCGACCTATGCCAAAGAGCAACATCATACGTCCAACAATAACTCCAACATCCAACCCCTCAACAATATCAAATCCAACAACAATGTCAACCCACTCAAACCCAACAACCATACACCACCACATCCAACCAAACCCGTCATTAATTCATGCCACACACACAATATCAAGAGCATGACTCGATCCACCACCAACAATATGCACCCTTTACATCCTACCACAACACCGAAGACACATATGATACCCCTTCTTCCTACCATACCATCCAACCTACATACAGTCAAACATCACACCATCGAAGTACCCAACCATCATACAAATTTCAGACACCTCAAGAACTGTTGCTTCATTTTCAAAATGATTCAACATCTCAATTCTATCAACAACCCCACCCACACATATCCCAACCAACAAGACCAAACTTCAACAACATGGGTACCGTTCTCTTTGGAAGTACAACACAGTGGGGAGAAATGATCGAGGAGATGTATGATCCTAATGTACCAGGACCATCACATTAAGCACCTCATCATCAAGTGAGTCAGAACAGACCCCAAACACCTCAGGAAATTCAACAGAGAGTGGTGAGGCAAGGAGTGAGGCAAATGCGGGGGCGTTTATGTCATGCAAGGACACGCTTAGGTTGAAGGGGAAGTCCGTAAAAATATGTATCTATGCATTGTGTAATTTAAAAAATTAATATAAAATATTTTTAATTACTTTTATTATTATTTAAAAAAATTAATAACAACTGTCAAGTTATCTAATATGGTGTCTCCTCTTCAAAATTATATGCATGTGTCACATTGCATGACATTACATAGGAGTACAAGCAATACAATGTGGCGTCTCCTCTCATTTACATATTATTTTTTTATTTAAAAAATAATTACTTTGATAATTTTTTTGAAAAAGTGATTATTTAAGTTTTTTTTATTTAAAAAAAGTGATAATTTTAAAAAAAAAATCTAACTTATATCTTGTGGATTAAAATTATAACACTCTCTATTTTATAGTATGAAACAAAAATATTTTTAATTAAAATATGAATTGTTCTACCATTCCGTGTGTAAAGTATTTATTGTCATTATATTATTGGTTATTATCTTGTGTTTTTATTCAAGTAGTCGATATCATTTATTTATATTATGATAAATAAATAAATAAATAAATAATAATAATAATAATAATAATATTCTTCTTGTTAATTGAATTATTGATTAATAGAATTAATAACTGTGTGTGTAAATGATTAATTGTAAAAATATAAATTACATCTTTTATTTTATTTTAAGATGAATTTATTTAATTATAATTAGTAGAGATGATCTAAAAAACAATTATTAGAAGTAATTCAATTTGATAAACTTTATTTTAGTTAATATTGGATTTATCAGAAAATAATTATTTAGATTTTATTATGATAATGAGTTACTATTTAATTAAGGGGGTTTATTTAGGCATTTTGGGCACAAACTGAAATTGGCATATTCGTTTGTTCTGCCCTACACATAAACAAATTGACGAGAGTATGAAATAATTCATTACCCTTTTCATTTCATAATAAATATTTTATTTGAGTTTTGTATGATTTTTAAGAAAATAATTATATATGTCGATTTTAATAATAAAATTAATATTATTTATTAAAAAATTCTTATTTATTATTTAATTAGTTAAATAATTGAAAAAGATAAAAATTAATAAACAAAGATATAATAATAAAAAAATAATAATAAATGTTGTATTTCACTTCTTCAGTTAACAGAACACAGAACGCGTTCTTCTCTCTCCCTTCTGGTTGGGCACTCTGTGTTTGAAAATAATTAAGTTGTTGTGATAAAAACCTTAAATCCCCACTTTGTCAAATCTGAATTTATTATTTGTTTTGGTATAATACTCAACAAACCCCTGTTTGATTCTGCTTTGAAAGTATAAATCTTATCTTTACAAGATCCATAAAATGCGTTGTCATATGCCCTAGTCAATGCTTTTTTTTTCTTCCAGTTAACATCTTGAAGAAGCATTTGAAGTAGTTACCAATTTAATGTCAATTAGTTATTCATTTGTCTGTCTTAGTGGCGGGTTATTTTTCTCATTGATATGAGATGAATTCTGTGTGGTGTTTTAGTGGCGGAGTGAAATATCAGGATCATGTAGTTCTAAGAGCATGCATATTCATCCATAAAGATATTTACAAAATATTTATTTTGTGAATTTGATTTCTCTTAAATTATTATGCTTTGTATGATTTATTTTATAATATTGTACCGTATGTTTTGTTTGATTTGATATGGATGATGAAAGATTGACCCCTTACAAATAACACATTAGATACGAAAAATTTGAAGATATAAATTGATTGTGATATGACATGATAGGATGTTGCTTGTGCTCGTGGGAATGATGAAATCGGTTTTTTATTGAATTTGTAATTCAATTTAAAATAAATTAGAAATTTTAAATATGATAGTTTACTTAAGTTGTGAATTAAAAATCAGTTTGTGAATTAGAAATATAATTTTACTATGTAAAAATGAAAATAGTTAAATTTCTTTTAAAAATGTATTATTATTTTATGATCTTTTGAAGAAAAAAACTTATTCCAAATTTTTAAAGTGAATAACTATTTAAAAAATATCTCAGATTTAAAAAAAAATCGGGATGTTTCAATCTTCTTTTTAAAATGAAAATTAAAATATGCAAATTAATGTAAATAAAAATGCAATTTCAAATAAATGTTGCAAATTCAATTAAATGTGTAAATTCAACTAAAATTTACAAACTAAAATAAGAAATGAAAAATCAACTTTTAAATATGATAAAAATAAAGAAGAGATATAGCATATTTGACTTTTCAAAAAAAGTAAATATGCATTAGATGAATGAAAAAATGTAAGGGACGAAGATGGGGTATGACAATTG